CTGGGCTGGGCTGCATGCATGGCCAAGCAACGCCTCGTGCCCCTGTGAAATGGGGTTGGCAAACGGCTGCGCCTCCCTCGCCTGCCTGGATCTCCAGCCTGCCCAAACCATGTCATACACATCAACACGTTTGTGTTCAAAAAACGGGTAGACGCAGCACTTTGGGACGTGGTTTAGTGGACATGGTGGTGTTGGGTTGACGGTTGGACTGATGATCTTCGAGGTCCTTTCCATCCTTAATGATTCCTAGTTTTTACTTTCAGTAAAAAATAATCCAGCCACCAAGCCAGGAAACATGAAATTGCTACTCTCCCCTTAATTGGTTTAGTGGTGGACTTAGCAGTGTTAGGCTAATGGTTGGACTGGATGATCTTAAAGGGCTTTTCCAACCTAAACAATTCGATGATTCTGTTCCACACCTCAGCACCCCAGTGCTCTCCTGCAGGTCTGCGGGTCCGTTCCCCTGTCTCTTGGCTGTGGGGTCCCCTCTTCCCCACAGTGACCAGCAGTTTCCTCTTGCCCTTCCTGGCAGCGGCCAGGACCCGGGCAAGTTCACAGAAACTGGACGTGCCTGGTGGTCATTCCTCCTCCCGCATCACCCCACGGCTGTGCCGCTTCCTTGCAGATCTCCGACATCTACATCAGCGGGGAGTCGGGGGATATGTCGGCCAAGGAGAAGCTGCTTCTGTGGACACAGAAGGTGACGGCGGGTTACATCGGTGTCAAGTGCACCAACTTCTCATCATGCTGGAGCGATGGGAAGATGTTCAACGCGCTCATCCACAGATACAGGTAGGCAGGAAGGAGCAGCGGAGAACATCATCTGGGTGGGAGGAAGGGCTGGGGACCTCCTGGGGGTCCCTGCCCACTGCTGCAGTTGGTGATGGTCTGTGCTTGGGGATGCAGGTGAGGCTTGCAGGGAGCAGTGTCTCTTTTACCTGGAAATCATCTCTTCTGCCAGGTAGCTGGGGGGGTGGATGCTTGGAAAGAGCAGCAAATACATCAGGTTGCAAGAAAAAACATCTTGAATGAGGCTGGGGAGAGACATGAAAAGGCAAAGCTTTTAAACTCTAGAGTATGGGAGTGCTGCAGTGCCTTACGTGTCACTGCTGCCCATTCTGCTCTCTATGAATAGCAGCACTTCCATCCACGCCTTCATCCAGGGGCCTCGGAGCTCTCCTGAGCAGCAATTAAACCTCTCGCAGTTCCTTGAGAGACAGCACAGCCCTGCACACCTTCCGTTTGCTCAGCGTAGGCAGCGAGTCAGAGCTGGGGCTGGCTTCTGCCCCGGCTGCTTGGTCAAGGGGACTTGGCGTGGCTTTGAGTGCCTGAAGGAGAATAACAGAGGCCTCGGGAGAAAGCGTCTCCTGGTAGCTGGAAATAGCACTGCCTGCCCATGCTGCTCTGTGCTCGCTCGTGGCCGGGAGGAGCAGGCAGGGTTTAGCAGCAAAGGACATGCAAAACTCCTGCAGGCAGGAGATGGGGTGCGTGGTGGGGAGCAGACCTCACCAGGATGGTGCGGTGCACAGAGGCTGGGGCTCTCCTGGCTCTGCGGTGCTCGTTTGTGCTTCGTCTGTGCTGCGGCTTGCTGGCATTGTTCTGCTGCCGGTGTTTCCTCCCAGTACAGGGCTGGCAGCACCTGCTGCAGGCAAAGGGCTCTGCCCACGTCCTCCGGAGAGGTGTAACCACCCCGCTTTGGGGCTGTTTCGTGCACCTCCTTCCAGGAAGGGCTTGCAGTCCCAGCGCGGCGTGCTGGGTGCAGAACAGGTGCTGGAGAGGGCAGGTTCCAGAGGAGCACAGAGGTTTTCCTTCACAGGCTGAACATCCCCTTCCCAAAGGGGCTGAGCTGGGGCGGTGCTGCAGGCCAGGTCCCCTCGGAGAGCCACCAGCCTGGGACAGGGGCTCGGACGAGCCCTCGGGAGCCACCCAGGGCAGTGGGGCCCATTTGGAACGCTCTGCCCTGAGCACCTTGTGCTGTTTGCCAACGTCGTGACTCTGGTGTGTGTCTTGCAGGCCGGATCTGGTGGACATGGAGAGGGTGCAGATCCAGAGTAACCGGGAGAACCTGGAGCAGGCCTTCGAGATCGCCGAGCGGCTGGGGGTCACACGGCTGCTGGATGCCGAAGGTGGGCGGCCGGGGGAGGCGGCTGGTGTGGGGAGATGCCAACCCCTCTGCCCACTCCCATTCCTCACTACCTCTCTGCTTTCTCCTTGTCAGACGTGGACGTCCCCTCTCCGGATGAGAAATCAGTGATAACTTATGTATCTTCAATCTACGATGCCTTTCCCAAAGTCCCCGAGGGAGGAGAAGGGATCAGCGCTATCGTAAGCATCGCTGCGGGTTGGGAGGCTGGGACGGCGATTTGGGAGGCAGCTGGTTGTTGCGGGAAGGGTTTGGAGGTTCCCCGTCCACCATAGCAGATGGCCGGTGGGTGGAAGAGGCTCAGGGGCGGAAGGAGCTTCCCCATGAGTGTGTCTGCCCTGTGAACTGCCGGTGTGCCTGTAGGGCCGCGGCGTTCTGCGGGTCCTGCCACGGGTTTTGAGCTCATGGGAAAGCTGAGCTGGCTTCCAGGGAGCAGCTTGCAAGGAGGATCCTCCTCCTTCTTCCTGTACCTGGGATGGCATCACAGCAGGGAGGCAAAGGCGAATGACCCACCCCATAGCTGTGACCGTGGCACCTTGGTTTCCTCCATGCTCTGCTCAGCAGGGCCGGGCTCTGCCTCTCCCCTGCGGAGACCTGCCCGCCGGCAGCGCTCTGCAAGGGTGCTCTCGCCCTGCAGGAGGTGGATTCAAGGTGGCTGGAGTACCAGAGCCGCGTGGAGTCCCTCATCTCGTGGATCAAGCAGCACACGATACTCATGTCAGATAAATCCTTCCCCCAGAACCCTGTAGAGCTAAAGGTAGGTCCTGAACGAGGTCTGTCCGCACTGTCCCCTACCTGAAAGGAGGGTGTAGTGAGGGGGGTGTTGGTCTCTTCTCCCAAGTGACAAGTGATAGGACGAGAGGAAATGGCCTCAAGTTGCATCAGGGGAGGTTTAGATTGGATATTAGGAAAAATTTCTTCCCAGAAAGAGCAGTCAAGCATTGGAACAGGCTGCTCAGAGAGGTGGTGGAGTCACCATTCCTGGAGGTGTTAAAAAAACAGGCAGACGTGGCACTTTGGGACATGGTTTAGTGGGCATGGGGGTGTTGGGTTGATGGTTGGACTGATGATCTTCGAGGTCCTTTCCATCCTTAATGATTCCTAGTTTTTACTTTCATTATAAATAATCCAGCCACCAAGCCAGGAAACATGAAATTAATTATTACTTGACCCTTAATTGGTTTAGCGATGGACTTGGTAGTGTTAGGTTAATGGATGGACTGGATGATCTTAAAGGTCTTTTCCAACCTAAACGATTCTATGATTGTATGATTCTATGTGCTCGGCGCCCAGAGCTGGGTGGTGGCATTCCCCAGGGTGGTTTCTGATGAGCCTTTCTCATCCCAGGCACTTTATAACCAGTACATACACTTCAAAGAAACTGAAATCCCAGCAAAAGAGCAGGAAAAAGGAAGGATAGAGGAGCTCTATAAACTGTTAGAGGTAAGTATCGTTGTGGCTACCCAGAGGCTTGTAGGTGGGAGTGTTGTGCTTTTAGCAAGACTAAAGCATGCTCAGTTCAGGTTTATTTTGAAATGGAGAAGTGGAATAACCCTCGAGGTAGATGATGTAGCAAGCAGCATGCTGCAGGAGTGGAGGCAGATCTGTTGCCTTCTGGCCCCACTTTCCTCGCTGTAATCTCTCTAGCCAGCTCGAGGAGGTAGGAAATGCCATTCTGTTGATGTTTTCCCCAGGTATGGATTGAATTTGGACGGATCAAGTTGCCCCAGGGGTATCACCCCAACGATGTGGAGGAGGAATGGGGCAAGCTCATCATAGAGATGCTGGAGCGCGAGAAGCTCCTGCGGCCAGCGGTGGAGAGGTCGGTGCTCTGCCCGCGGCAGGCCGAGTCCCCTGCGGGGACTTTCCCTCTGTCATCGCAGGCTGGAATTGCTGCTACAAATCGCTAACAAAATCCAGAATGGTGCTCTGAGCTGTGAAGAAAAGCTCACTCTTGCAAAGAACACGCTGCAGGCTGTGAGTGGAGGGTGTTCTTTTCCCCCTCCTAATTTTTTAATTTATTTTTTTGTTTTCCTGCCTCTTCTTTTATGCCTATCTCTCCCCCTTCCCTCTGTCATCGCAGGCTGGAATTGCTGCTACAAATCGCTAACAAAATCCAGAATGGTGCTCTGAGCTGTGAAGAAAAGCTCACTCTTGCAAAGAACACGCTGCAGGCTGTGAGTGGAGGGTGTTCTTTTCCCCCTCCTAATTTTTTAATTTATTTTTTTGTTTTCCTGCCTCTTCTTTTATGCCTATCTCTCCCCCTCTCTTCTGTGTGGGGTGGTGGGTTCCCCTGGACAGCTTCTCTTTCTCTTCTGACATTGAGCCTGTCCCAGAGGGGCTGTAGGGGCGGCGGTGGATACCTGCTGATCTATGGCACGAGGACCTTGGGGACAGGGGTGCAGGGGAACAGCCTTGCCGTGCAGCAGGCTGCCTCTGGGGTGCAGCTAGCGAGGCTGGACCTCTGCAGAGGTGCTGGCTTGGAGGAGGACTGCAGTTCCAGGAAAGCTTGTTGTATATTGGGGCTTAAAAACCCCCAAATCGGTTTTGTTTGTCTAAAAGACTGGCAGAAAGCACTCAGTTGCAGACTCTAGCTACCTGGGTAGGGAGCGAGATGCACGTTTAAGTGACTGTCCATGGGACTAACCACGGGAGCCCATCTATCGCTAGAAGCTTTCAGTTCACAGCAGGAGTTTTTCTAAAGGGGATGTCCTGGGTGTGGTGTGAGCGATGAGCTCATGTTCTTCTGCTCAAGTCAAGCTTGTGGATCAAAAGGTCTTTTCGGTCTTAAAGTTGATGCTGGGCTGCTATCGTGTTCTCTCTGCCCACGTGCCTGGGCTGAGGGGACCCAGCCCTCAGTCTCCTTTCTCTTGGTGCAGGACGCTGCTCACCTGGAGTCGGGCCAGCCGGTGCAGTACGAATCCGACGTGGTCATGTATCTGCAGGAGTGCGAGGGGCTCATCCGCCAGCTACAGGTGGATGTGCAGATCCTTCGGGATGAGAATTACTACCAGCTGGAGGAGCTGGTGTTCAGGTGAGAGGGGCTGTGTCCAAGGTGGTCTGTGGATGGAGAAACGTGGTCAGGGGCTGATGCACGGGGCTCCTCTGCTCTGTTGTAGGGAAGGAGGGAGTGTGCGTGCATCTTCTTACCCATGCTTTGCTTGCTCTTCCAGGATCATGCGGCTGCAAGATGAGCTGGTGACGCTGAGGCTGGAGTGCACTAACCTGTACAGGAAAGGCCACTTCTCCACCCTGGAACTGGTGCCCACTTCCACGCTGAGCACGACACACTTGAAGGGCGAGTCCCTGACGAAAGGGCTGCACACCACCTCTGCCTCCTGGTTCCGGAAGCCCATGACCAGGACTGAGCTGGTGGCCATCTCTTCTTCCGAAGACGAAGGCAGCCTCCGGTTCGTGTACGAGCTGCTGGCATGGGTGGAGGAAATGCAGGTGAGTGCTGGCTCTCTGGACCAAATTATCTGCCTCCGCTCATGGTGATGCAGGAGGGTAGGAAGCTGGTCTGGGCTTTTTCCTGCCTTTATCTGTGAGTAATTGCTTTGATGGTTTGAAGTTTCTGGAGGGCACCAACACTTTTGTCTTGAGTTGAGTTTTCTCTCTCGTGATCCTGCTGCTCAGCGGGTATCAGAAGATCTTTTCAAAGCTGGAAGCAAATCTGTACTGATCCAGTCAGTCCTTTGGTCTTATGTGGGTGTGAAGCTTGTGTAGGCTGTCCCAGAAATCATTCAGTGTTGGAGCGCTGGCTTAGGACCTTCTACCAGGACTGGTGTGGGGTTTGTTCCCTCTTGAGTGACCTAGAAGGTTTCCTTGGCCTCGTGTGCTTTTGAGATATGTGCCTGCAGATGAGGAGTGCTGAATTGGGCCTCTTGGCCTGTTTCAGATGAGACTGGAGCGGGCAGAGTGGGGGAGCGACCTGCCGAGCGTGGAAACCCAGCTGGAGACCCAGCGGCATGTCCACACCAGCGTGGAGGACCTGGGCTCCAGCGTAAAGGAGGCCCGGATGTACGAGGTATGGTGGCACGGGCTGGCGGACACAGGGCATGGCACAACGTGTGCGGGAAGGTGAGGGCATCGGGATCGGTTCTTGTGGGTAAGGGTGCCTGGGGCAGAGGTATTTTTTAAGGACGGAGCTTCAGAATTGATGCTGGGCTAGTGCAAGAGGCTGCTGCCCTGAGCCATCCTCTGCACCTCTTTTTGCTCCCGCGAAGCTGGGGACAAAGATTTGGAGATGGGGTTTCAAGTGGTGCTGTCCTGTGTCGGGTAACAGGAACATTTTTCGTCCTTCAGGGTAAAATGTCTCAGAATTTCCGTGCTAGTTACACAGAGACGCTTGGCAAGCTGGAGACGCAGTACTGCAAGCTGATGGTGAGTGGGCTTCGAGTGGGCTTGTAGCGCTGCCCGGGGAGCGTGGGGTCCATCCCCGCCACCCTGCTCCTGAGCATACCTGCTCCGAGGCTGGGGAGGGGGGAAGAAACTGGTCACCTTCAGAGCAAGGAAGAGGAATCACACTTCGTTTGTTCAGGAAACCTCGAGCTTCCGGCTGAGACACCTTCAGAGCTTGCACGGGTTTGTGTCTCGGGCCACTGCTGAGCTGATTTGGCTGAATGAGAAGGAGGAGGAGGAACTGGCCTATGACTGGAGCGACAACAACCCTAACATTGCAGCCAAGAAAAACTACTTCTCGGTGAGTAACCCCAGGGCAGGGCTGGTGGGATGGGTGCTCTCTTGGTTGCGCTGCTGCTGCTTTTCATCCGCTGTGGGACCTTCAGCTACCAACAGACCTCAAGTCCCCGGAGGTTGGATGCTCCCTCTTAAGTCACTGAGCTTGTAGCTCATGAGTACAGCTGATGAAAGAGCTCTCCCTAGAGCAGAAAGTGCAAAACATGTTTGTTCAATTGAGTTTCAATCAAAAAGGGATCAAAAGCTGTCTTTTTAGCAGTATTTGGAATGAAAGGCATCCTTTAACTAGTGGGGGGAAAAAAACCCGTCTGAGCTAAAGAGGAAAATTAATTCCTCTTTAAAGCAGTATAAATAAATTGCTCTTTCCACAATCACGCTGTCTGGAACTGAAGAGGTCCCCAGGCAGGTTTCCGGTATCTGTGTTGCATCTGCCCCACGTGTTTGGTGCACAGGAGCCATCCTGATGGGAGTCGGCTGTGGTGCTCCCATAAGCCGTGCTGGTTTCCCTGAGATCCGCTGGTATTTACTGCAGCACTCCCATACTGCATGTTGTATTAGTTGGACACGTGCTCCGAGTGAGGCTGCTCCCCATAGCCGAGATTTGGACTTTGTGTCCTTCACACAGGAGCTGACGATGGAGCTGGAAGAGAAGCAGGACATCTTCCGCTCCCTCCAAGACACAGCCGAGCTGCTGTCCCTGGAGAACCACCCGGCCAAGCAAACCGTAGAGGTGAGTGGGCATGCGGAGGAGCCGGGAGGAGCCCCGAGAATCAGCTGGCAGCAAATCTTCTCACCCAGGACTGGGAAACTTGCTGTCCCACGCCAGGGTGCCCAGACAGGCAGCCGGGGCTGATAAGGCGTTTTATGGTGGCAGGAGAACATCAGTGCAGCGATAGAGCTGTTTTATTCTGGGAAGTGCAATGAGAAGCTCGAGGCCATTCCCAAATAATCCTCACCTCAAATTAAGGCACAGATATGCTTGTGCAGAGCATGAGTCTTTCCTGCAGCAAGGTGATGCAGGGAATGGCCTTGGCTCCTTTGGACTTATCCAGGCTTCCAGGAAAACCATGATGAAGCAGAGGGCTGTGGGGACATGTTTCTCCCTGGTGCTTCTCTCTGGGGTGGGAGAAAGCAAACCTGAGCCTGCCGCAGCCCCTGGCATTGCCGGTCCAGGGTCTGCTGTCTCCTGCTCTTCGTGCCTGTGTCCAAACCCTCCTGGCTGCAGCCAGATCTTGCCTGTTTCTGTACATCCCGCTGGCTGTAGCTGTGTCCTTCTTGTGACCCTTCTGGCTGGTAAATACTTGTTATTCATTGCCGTTTGGTGCGTGTGTTTCTCAGGCCTACAGTGCTGCCGTGCAGACTCAGTGGCAGTGGATTAAGCAGCTCTGCCTGTGTGTGGAACAGCACGTGAAGGAGAATGCCGCCTATTTCCAGGTACTTGGGAGGGGGCAGCCCAAATTTCCCTGGTCACCGTCCGCTGCATGAGCTTCGTACGCTGCCGTGCCCTTCAGGGGAGAGGGAAGGAGGGATTTGTGTGCTCACGGAGGCTGCTTTCTCCTGAATCATCTTTCTCCTTAGCTGCTCTCTGGGGATGTCTCACTTGGGCAAGAGGGATCAGCTTCCACGTAGCTCTGGCCATCCATGTGGGATGCTCGCTGACCTTGCAGCCCTAAGGCCAGAACAGCGCTGGGAGCTGCTGGTTGAGCTGTTGGGGTGGTCCCTTGCTGCACTGTGTGCTGCTGACTGCTCGGTGGAGCTGTGCAGCTTTCCGTGACCCTCTTCTGCCTTTGCAGTTCTTCAGTGACGCCCGGGAGTCGGAGACCTACCTGCGCAACCTGCAGGACTCCATCAAAAGGAAGTATTCTTGCGACCATAACACGAGCCTGACGCGGCTGGAGGACCTGCTGCAGGACTCCATGGTGGGTTCTCAGACATCCCCGCCACGCTGGGCGGGCGATGGGTGGCCTTCTTGCTCCGGTCCAGCAGCATTGCTTGGGGCACCTCTTGCTCCCCAGGGAAAACTGGGCTCGTTTTATTCCCGCAGCAATGCCGTTTCATGTAACGTGGTTTGTTTCCTCATCTTGGTCAATGTTCTGCTTTTCGTTGGAGCTGCTGCATGTGTTTTGTACGTGGCCACGGGATGCAGGCTGTGTGCAACCCAGCTGCACCGCTGCGTGGATGTAACACTGCCGATGGTGGCTGGATCTCAGGCGTTGTGCCAGCCGATGGGTCGCTTTTGTTTAGAGGCACCATCCAGCGTCTTTCTGTATGCGCGGGGTGAAGAGCAGGCGGCGTGTGCTGTCTGTGCAAACTCATAGCTTGACACGTGAGCTGGTTCTTCCCCATGGGCGCCCATCGTACCATCCTGGTCTGCATGGAGCTGGTCATGTTCTGCTGATGGAGGTGTTGCGCAGAGCCCGTAGGATGCTCCTGTTTCTGCTTTTTGAGCTGGTGCTTGCTAGGAGTGTGGTGGGATGCGGAGAAACGCGTGCTCTTTATCCAGACCAAATCCCATGTTAATCCATCGCGCTGTGCCGGTGGGGGGAGAGCCAGGGCAGCCCGACGGGGGCTCGGGGGCTCGGCAGCGCTGATCTCCGAACACATGGCCTGGCTTAGCTGCGGCGTAGCAGAGAGCAGATGATGGGCAGTCGCGCTGTGATCTTCTTGTCCGAATTGGCCTGAAAAAAACCAACCTAAAAACAAAACCCAAGGAGCAAAGCAATCAGATGGTGTTTGAAACCAGGGACGGGGGAGGATTTGGGTTGTGGGTTGACCACTGAGCCACTGGTGGAAGTGGAAGGAGGTGACATTTGAGGGTGTGGAGGCAGGTGGCTGCTTTGGCTTTGCTCAGTGCACACCACTGATTTCCAGCGTGTCCCCAGTGAAGCTGGGATGCCGTGACTGGGTGTTCGTGATGGGGTGCGTCAGCTGGGCTAGGGCTCACCGTCTTCTCCCCCTCACCGTCTTCTCTCCTGGAGGCCCGGGAGGTCCCATCCTCTCTGTCATGGTCTCAGGGTCATCCTGGTCTGTCCTCCAGCGCTACCAGGACACAGAGCAGCCATCCTGGCTCCTGGGGTCCGTATTTGCGAGCACCGCAACACCAGAAGTGTGGCAGGCGCTGTCCGGGGGGGGGGAGGGTGCCGGACAGTGGCCACAGTCTCAGGACTGGGGCAGCTGCCTGATCTCAGCTATATTACTCTTTCTTACCTAATAAGTTAAAGTTGTATTTCTTCCAATCATGCTCCCTGGGACAGGCACAGGTAGTTTATTTAATCATTTATTCTTTTCTTTTTCTTTTTTTTTTTTTTTTTTTACCATTAAATTATCCTCCACTGTTGTTAGTGCACTAACCGACCCCGAGAGTACCAAGCATGAAGGGAGAATATTTTTCTGGGATCCTTTTTAAACTTTTGCAGCCAGAATGGGCTGAGCTGCCACTAATCACACAAGCTGCCAGTGTCGTGATCCGCACACGTCTCCACTGGTGCCGGAGGCTGTTCCAGGGGAGCTTTGCCACCAGTCCCCTGGGTTGTCCCATCACCAAACCCAGAAGGGACTTGTGGGAATCAATTATGCAGCATCTTCCTCCAGCCGGCAAATTTCTACCCATACCCAGAGACCTGTGCGATCACTTCACCACTAGCCCCTTCTCCCGAGATGTTTTATCCGCATAATTCATCGTATCCCCATTCCAGCCATTGGTTTAAACATGCCTTCATCCTTTGCTTTAGAAAAGGGAGCATGCTTCTGTGGTCTCTCCTCCAGACAACTGAACGTCCCTGGTTTTGGGCTGGAGCTTGTCCTGCTCTTGGCCCCTTACACCTCATGGGACTTCCATTTTGGTGTATGCTGTGTTCTCTTTTTTCCCTTTTGAAAGAAAATGTTTTCTTGTCCTAGCAGCAAAAGAGCCAGAGGCATGCATGCGGCTTTGCAGGGCAGTGGGAGTAGTAGCGGAGAGGTCCCACCCTGACTTGAAGTCCGTTCTCCCTTCCATCCCATCTCCTGACCCCTCTTCCCATCCCATTAGGGCAGCAGGATCCTCCTGACGTGTTTGTTCAGCCCGTGAGATCCCAGCGTAGCTCTTGCAGGCCAGCGTTGGGGTGGGGGGGTGCCGAGATGCCTGGGAGAGACCTCCTCTCCCCTACCTCGAGCAACCCGTCCTTCATCCTTCTTTCTGCCAGGACGAGAAGGAGCAGCTCATTCAGTCGAAGAGCTCCGTCGCCAGCCTGGTGGGACGATCCAAAACCATCGTTCAGCTCCGGCCCAGGAACCCGGAGCACCTTGTGAAGAGCACGATCCCCATCAAGGCTGTGTGTGACTATCGGCAGATCGAGGTGAGGGCCGGACGGGTGTCGGCGTGACTTTGAAAGGGAAGGCAGGGACAAGGCAGGGGAGCAGCGCCCGTGATGGTTTAGGATGAGCTCTGTGGTGTTTGTCAATGAAAAAAGGAGTGGGAAGACAGGGGGAGGGAAATAGCACGGATGATTTTCCTGGAGCAGATTTCCATGTCTCAAATTTATTCTGGGCAGGAGCTAAAGTCCTTTTCCCCAAGGAGGATGGGCTTCAGCAGCCTCAGCCAAAAAAGCATGTGGGTGGTAGCCAACTTCCTTGTCCCTTCCTCTCCAGACATGAACGTGTTGCACTGCTTGGCACTATACCAGGCTTCTGCTTGATTAAAATATATATATATATATATATGTACA